TGTGTGTATATATATGTATATATATGTATATATATGTGTATATATATATATGTATGTGTGTTTTGCATTTTATTTACTGTGATGTCAGAACAATCTAGAAGACATATGTAGAAGACATATCTAGAAAACATGTTTACATATGTAAACTTACAATACTACAGAATTGTTAAATAAAGAATTTGGAGCTGGACATGATGAAGCATGTCTGTAATCCCAGCACTATGGGAGCAGAGGGAGATGGATTACAAGTTCAACCCCAACCTAGGCAATTCAACAACTTAGTGAGACCCTGTCGCAAAATAAAAAATAAAAAAGGTGATATGGATGTAGCTTATTGCAAAGGCCCTGGGTTCAACCCTAGTACCACAGTACATACATACATATATACATACAGAATTTGGACTGGACATGGTGGTGTACACATGTAAGCCCAGTCGCTCAGGAGGCTGAGGCAGGAGGATTGCAAGTTTGAGATAACCATGGGAAATTTAGTGAGACTGTCACAAAGTAAAAATTTTGAGAACCTTGAGGATGCAGGTTAGTGGTACAGTGCTTGCCTAGCATGTACGAGGCACTGGGTTCAATCTCCAGCACTCCAAAATAATAATGATAGTAATAAACTTTAAACACACACAATGTGGCCAGAAAATACAATGGGATCAACAAAAGCTCTCAGTGAAGAGCAGTCTACACCTTTCAGTTAACATTCTGGAAGGTGAGGTGCAAAGACAAGGACAAGAATAAAGGGTCTAAAGTTTCTAACCTTAAAGAAAATTTTAGGGCCGAGAATTTTAGCTCAGTGGTTCCACTGCCTGTCCCACAAGCGCAAGGACCCAAGTTTGATCCCTGGTACCAAAAAAATAAAATTTTGGTAGGGCATGGTGGTAGATATCTATAATCCCAGCACTCTGGGAGGCTGAAGCAGGAAGGTTGCAAGTTCAAGCCCAACCAGGGCAATTTAATGACTTAGTGAAACCTTTCTCAAAATAAAAAATTAAAAAGTGCAAAAGTCCTGAGGTGAGTCCCCAGTATCGCAAAAGCAAGAGAAGAAAATTTTGGGGTTTTTTTATATGAATAATGGTGAGTTTGAAAGCAAAACAGAATTTTGATTTTACTAAAAATAGAGGCAGCTCAATGTCTATGAGCAGGTGAATGAAGAAAATATGGTCTGCACATATCTGGAAATATTATTTATTATCTGGCCTTTAAAAAGGAATTCCAGGGCCAGGGATTTAGCTCAGTGGTTCCGGCACCTGCCCTGCAAGCACAAGGTCCCGAGTTTGATCCCCAGGACCAAAAAAAAAAGGAATTCCAACATAACTATAATGCAGGTGAATCTTTAGAAACTTATTCTAAGTGAAATAGGCTGGGCACAAAAGGAAAACTACTGTATGATTCTATTTGTATGAGCTGTCTAACATAGTCAAACCCACAGAAACATGAAGTATATGAGGACTAGGGTGGTGCAGTTAGAGGAAGGAAGGAAGTTTGTTATTTAATGGCACGGAGCTTTGGTTTTGCAAGACTTAAACCCTCCAGAGACCTGTGACACAACCATGTGACTGTGCTTCATGCCACAAGATTGTACCTAAAAATGGTTAAGAGGGTAAATTTTATACAATGTATTTTTTTACAATTAAAAATGTAAGGGCCAGGGATTTAGCTCAGTGGTTCTGCCACCTGCCTCGCAAGTGCAAGGACCTGAGTTCGATCCCCAGTACCAAAAAAAAAAGAAAGAAAGAAAAGAAAAGGGCCGAGGATGTAGCTCAGTGCAAAAGTCCTGGGTTGAATCCTCAGTAATGCAAAAGAGGGGAAGAGAGGAAGAAAGGAAGAGAAAAGTGCTGGAAATTATTATTTTGCATCTATTTAAGCCTATGAAGAAAAAATTGAGATGTTAGCTTAAAAAGTGAGAGCAAGTGAGTATCCCTCAAGAGGCTCAACACGACTAACCTCCAGGAGCCCTCTAGCTGACCCTCAACTGCGACAGGACCACAGCAGACATGGTCAAGCTCAGTTGAAAGCATCCACTGGAACCTGCAGTCTGTCCCACCTGGAGGATGGGCATGGTGACAAGAGTGCAGCAGCTCAGAAGTGAGGGGTCAGCTGAATTCTCCAGAACTCTGCCGAGGTCTTCCAGGTTATAGGTGCCCACAGGACAGGACCCAGGTCTTTGAATATACCCCCCAGGGACTTTTCTGAAAAGGAATAAAAATCTCATCTGTTACCCATGGGGCATTCTGGTCAAACAGGCAAGTATTATCACTGTAGGCAGAGGGTTTTAAGGCACTGAACTATGCAGGATCCCTTCCTGCTGTGAACTCAGCAGGTGGATGCAAAGAGCTGTCCATTTATTTCCTTTGCCTGTAGATGCAGTAGCTCCATCTTCCCCAGGTTGGGTCATCTCTCTCTGGTGCAGAAGCACTGCTCCCTCCCACCTGGTGCAGCTAGGGCCCTGTGGAGGTTTGTTGTGGTGGATTTTGCTGTTTCAGGTAATGCCCATCCTGTGGCCACCACTCAGAGACCTGCATCCACCTACCTGCCTCCTTTTCACACAAATGATGTGGATGCATCATTCTATGCCTTGAAGATGGGACATCAGGTCCTCAAATATTCTGTTTGTCTGTTTTATTTTGTTTTTTTTTAGCAGTGCTGGAGGGCAAACCCAGGGCCTCATGCATCCTGGCAAGTGCTCCATCACTAAGCCGTTTGTTCATCTTTAAAGACTGAATCCATGATTTTTCTCATTTCAGTTGCAGGTGAACTTGCTCTCTAAGTTTCTGCTGATTGCAAAATCTTGCTATGAGCAGAGGAACTTTGCGACAGCCATGCAAATCCTGGGCGGACTGGAGCACTTGGCCGTGAGGCAGTCCCCTGTACGTTCACCCGGGGTCCTAGAGCTGTGGGTGCAGGCTTAGCATATGGGCCAGCAGAGATCTCACCTGTGGTTCCATTTCAGGCCTGGAGAATCCTGCCTGCAAAGATCGCAGAGGTCATGGAGGAGCTAAAAGCTGTGGAGGTACCAGCACTTTGCAGAGCTACCCCAGAAAGACTTTGTGTGCACAGCTCAGGGTGCTCACACAGCAGCACCTGCATCATAGAACTCCAAACACATTACACAGCCCAGCCACCTGGGTGAAGGTGCCCACCTTCCAGGCCACATAACCGGGCTGGTCTGACCTCCCAGCACAGGCTATAGGTGCACACATGCCAGGACCCAGGTCTGAAGCTCAGGGTGTGAGCTTGGCTAACCAGGAGGCCTGCTCCTAGCAGAGGGCGCCTCTCATGAGATAAGGAAATGCTGCTGAAGTGATCAGGCATTTCCCACAGTGAGACAGCAGGAGCCTTGCTGTTGTCGGCCTGTGGCAAATGCCTCAGCCTTTGCCTGAGCCCAGCCTCACACCAAGGCACAGCTGGTGTGGGGGTGGGGGGCTGGTCATCATCCCTCCCCCCACCTCAGCCCCAGTCCCACACACAGAGACACGGGGCCTCATTTGGGAAGGTCAGATCACTAGCTCTTTTCTGGACCCCAGCAGAAAATAAGCAATTTGCCATTTGAGCAGCACGAGCCGCAAAGCTTTCTCTGTCAGTGTCATGTTTTGTGCCAGTAAGCATAAGATGTCCAGGCTTTCAACCCACAGTCTAGGAACCCCAGGTTCATTTTGGACTGCATGTTTAGGGTGCTGGGCAGCCCCCATGTACCCAGAGTACAGGCACCCATGGGAACTAGACAGTTGAATAAATCCAAGCATCTTGGGCTGACCACTCCCCTGTCTCTCCCTGCCCACGCCCCGACCTGGGGCGGCCAGGTCTTCCTGAAAAGCGACAGCCTATGTCTGATGGAAGGACGGCGCTTCCGGGCCCAGCCCACCCTGCCCTCAGCCCGCCTCCTGGCCATGCACATCCAGCAGCTAGAGACTGGGGGCTTCACCATGACCAATGGAGCCCACAGATGGAGCAAGCTCAGGTGAGGGAGGCTCAGCTTGACCAGCAGAGCCTACAGATGCAGCAGGGTCAGGTGCAGGCCTCTTCTAGTCCTTGCTGCTCTTCAGAATCCCTGGCTTAGCCTTCACCCATCCCAGGGCTTCAGTACTCCCTCTGCCAGGGTCAGTTCTAGCCACTCCTCCAAAAATTTAACATATTTTCTTCTGGTGTCCATTGTCCCAACCTCCCACTGCTGAAGTTGCTGGAGACCTCCCTATTTGGGATCCAGGCACATCTTATTCATTGGTATACGAAACACTGAGGCTGCCCAGAGTGTGGCATCCCCCCCACCCCCGCCCTGGGGGCCCTGGGTTTTCCTGCTCTCTTTCTCCCTTAGGGCTCTTCTTCCCAAAGCCATCCACATAGGACCCATGGTTAGTCCTCGGCCCATTCCTGAGTCCCTCTGCTCACCTGCTGAGCACAACTAGGACCCTGCCACCACTGCCTGGAAGGCACAGACACAGGCTGGTTTGAAACCCCACCATGTTGAATCCCATGGGTCTGTGCACCTCACAGGCCTCAGAGAAGCCTGATTCTCATTTCTGTCTCAAGAGGTCCTAGCCAGGTCAGCTTCTCCATGGAGTCCCAGCCCTGTCCAAGGTTGTGTCCCAAGTCCCCCAGGTCAACCTCATCTTCTCGTTGCCCCCCTCACCCCCCCATGGCCACCCTCCACTCTTCTGCCCTTCCTCTCCATTGTCCATACAGCAACCTCCACTGTCCAAATACAACCTGTTCAAGCCTCAGCCTCACTGAGAATAATTAATATGAAAGCAAAATGCACATTATTTCAAGAGAAAGGAAAACCTATGCAGCAACAAAGAAATTAAAATGAGAGGTAATGTCACCATCTGGAAAGAGCGTGGGTGGAGATCTGACATCTGCTCTTCTTGACTCTGTGTGGATTTGGCTGTCCTTTAATGAACAAAAGTGACATCATTCACACTAGACATACTGATTCCTCATTCAGACTTAGGTGGGAGAGCCTGTCTGCAGGGTCAGGCAGGAGTAAGCTCTCCGAGTCCTCGATTTTCCTGGTTTACCCTAATGGTATATGGCCACTGTGTACAACCAATTCTCCAGGGGAATGAACACCAGCTCACAATGCCTGGAACTCACTGGATTGTAAATCCTGGAGGCTGCACTGCGGCATGGGGTGGTAGAGCCAGCACTGAGTTTTATCCATATTGGAACCCTCAGCTCAAGTAGAACTGACACAGAAGATTTTCAGTAAACATGTTTCAAGCATGGGCAGATGGGTGGACAGGCCCATTCACAACGTGAGGCAAATGCAGAAAACCTGCCTTTGGGTTTTTCCACTTTAAAAAAAGTTTGGTTTGACCAGTTCCTAAGAACACACTAGGATTCACTGGCCAGAGAGCACAGCTTCTGATTTGTACAAACTAATATTTCTTCTCTTTCCCCACAAAAGAAACATAGCCAAGGTGGTGAGCCAGGTCCATGCATTCCAGGAGAACCCCTACACATTCAGCCCCGACCCCAAGCTGCAGGCGCATCTCAAGCAAAGGATCGCACGTTTCAGCGGGGCTGACATTTCCATCTTAGCAGCAGACAACAGGGCCAACTTCCACCAGATCGAAAGCGAGAAGCATTCCCGGAAGATCCAGGACAAACTACGAAGGATGAAAGCTACATTCCAGTAGTGAGGATGCAACTGAGTGTGAGAGTCCAAGAGGAACCAGACCTACAGGAGGCAGCTGGGGAGCAAGGAGCCGCTCCAGGGCCACCTGCATGAGACTGCTCTGCACGTGGAGCCCTGAGCAATGTAGGTTTCCACCACTCCCCACTCCCCAGGTGAAGAGGTGGAGGGTCACAGCGACTCACCCATGGCCACTCCACAGAGAGGGCAAAGCCAGCTCCAACACAGACCCAGCACCCAGAACTGGCCCTTTCCAGGACGTGGGCAGGGTGGGCACAAGAGTTTGGAGATCCTGTTTCTGCAAGAATTTAAAAATTAAGTTTAAAAATCACAATAGAAAGCCAAGTATGGTGACACACATCTGTGATCCCAGCACTCCAGAGGCTGAGGCAGGAGAACTGCTGTGAGTTCAAGGCCTGCCTGGGCTACACAGTAAATTCAAGGCCAGCCTGAACTACATAGTGAGACCCTGTCTCACAAAAAAAAAAAAAAAAAAGGAAGAAAATAGAATAAACTTTCCCCAGAGTTTTTGTACCTATTTCTCCAAGATGAATGACTTTCATCCCATTCTTGTTATGATCCCCTTTTAAAACAACAACACTCATTCACCCTTGACTAGACAGATTCCAAACTTAGCTACTAGCTTAAGAGTGTTTCCATGTTTGTTTAACAGAGAAGGACCAAAAACTCAGCTGAACCCATGGGCTTCAAGGCTTCTAAAACCTTCCATAGAAGAGGCCTAGGGCCGGGGATTTAGCTCAGTGGTTCTGGCGCCTGCCTCGCAAGTGCAAGGTCCCAAGTTCGATCCCCAGTACCAAAAAAAAAAAAAAGAAGTAGAAGAGGCCCAAAGCTTCTGGATGAGCTGGCCCTGCTGGGTTTACATTCCCACCTACCCTCAGTCCTCCCTGTAGGAGATCTCTGCCATCCTACACCCAGCTGCCAAGCCAGTTAGGAGAAGCAGCCTCTGTCCCAGCTAGGCTTACTCCTGTGGCAGCTGCTCCTTTCTATGCCCTCCACTCACCCTCAGCTTAGGAGAACTGCAGTGATACAGGCGCTCTGCCAAAGGCTGTACTCCCTGGAAAAGGGCACTGGACACCACCCATGGACCCTGAGAGTGTCCCACCACCTGCCCTAAGGCCTGGGGACTGCAAGACTGCCTACCTGTGTTCAGCAGCAGCCATGCATGCGCACACCCAACCACTGCGTTCCCTCAGCTGTGCACCACCACTAGCGCTTTGTCAGACCAGAATGTGAAGTTTGCAGTCTCAGTTGTACCAAGCCCTTCCCCGAGTTCATGGTCTCCATCAGCTGGTGTTAAAATTGACTCAGTGATGGGACCAGGGGCCTGGGAATAGGACAGGGTGTGGCCGGTCAGAGCCCTACACTAGGCACCAGAGCTCTCAGATCCCTGGTACCATTCCAGGAACTGCCTGCCACCAGACCCAAGGTTGTTCTATGTTTTAGAATTAATGATTCCAGGGCCAGGGATTTAGCTCAGTGGTTTCGGCACCTGCTGTGCAAGTGCAAGGACCCGAGTTCAATCCCTGGTACCAAAAAAAAAAAAAATTAATGATTCCTTAGTGAACCAGCTAGTGGTATTTCTAGGCAGGCTGTGACTTGTAACAAAATGTTGACTTTTTAATGCCAAGATGTGTTTTCCCACATGCATTCATTGGGGGTAACAGGCCCTGCTAACTTGGACACACCATGCACATGTGACTACCGTTTTCAGGCTTTTCTATGAAGATTATGTTCTGCTGATCAATGCCTACGCTTCCAGATTTTGTATTTCACACAGATGGTATCCAGCCCCAATCAATATTTCAATGGCAACAACTTATATCATGGGAAAGTGACCAGGCTTTGGCTTCAGCACTGTTTGCATGGCACCCTGATGTCACATGGTACAAATTTCTAAATAAAATCATTTCTATCAAGCCACTGCTGTGTGGTACATTCCACGAGATGCCTGCTCTGAGATTGAGGTGGTCTTCCTGGCCTGGTAAAGACTGCTTTACAGGTGCCTTGGAAACACTTGTAGCAGGAGAGTGCCTAGCCCAGGAATGAAACCTGAACTGCCAGTCACAAAGACATCCTTGGTCACACACCCTCAGTAGCACCAGGGTCCAGGTATGGAAGACTCACTTCTAACTCAGCCCCCACCAGGAGAACCAAGACTTTTAAATTCCCAAGCATATGAAAAGCAAACTTAACCATCCTGCTTCAGGAAATAACCTGTCTCTGGTGAAGACTGTACACCTCTGAAAACAAGTCTCACTCTGACTAGAGTTTGTTCTGCCATAAACCCACCCACACCAGCCAATTCACACTTGGCACCTGTGGGAAAGACAGAGCTGGGTTCCTTGTTCACATACCAGAGCTGCTGTCCTGCCTTAGAGAAAGGGCAAAGTGGGGATATCCTTGTCTATGGAAGGTGGTGTCTTGACATAAGTGGTTAAGTGGACCCCACAAGCAAAGGGGGTGAAGGCCAAAGATTGGGTGTAAACTATGGATCCTCTTTAAGAAACATCTAACAAGCCTTTAGCAAGTTCCATAATGAATCATACAGCTACCTGCCTGGAAGTTATGCAAATGAAACTGAAGTCATATTCACTTGGGACAGTAGCCACTCCAGGTGGGTAGTTTGGGTCCTCACTTATCCTAAAACTGCAGAAACCCTTCTCTCCCCAGGACTTCCCCTCCTGAGACCCTAGAAAGATACAACAGAGGGAAGGGGTCTCCTTTAACTGCAACAGGTCTACTAATCTTAGCTCCTGGCAAAATGATAAGCCCCAGAACCCTGAACATCCAGTTAGCCCTGCCCCCAACAGGTTCCTATCTCTGTGTACCCCACTGTGAGAAAGCTGCTAATACAAAGGAGGTTTGATTACACTGAGGCCACCAAGCTGGGAGCAAATCCAACGGCTACATGTGGGCTGCATGGATAGAGTAGCCCCACTAGATGTAGCTGCCCAGCTCTGAAGCCATCAGATACCACCACTTGCACATGGCCTGAGGACCTCAAAAACAGCAAGCTGTACCCCAGAAACACTGCCGCAGACAAGTAATTCTTGGTCCTCATGCAGGCCCCTGATCACAGAATCACCAGCTAATAAAATGGCACTGGCCTTTGACACTGTCTTGGCATGGTTCATTAGCCTGAAGGAGATTACTGAATGCCAATCATAGGATGTTGAGTGATCAGCTCCCCTCTAAGACTCAGTCTCCTGTCTGTAAAAGCATGGTTATACCAGGATTAGCATAAAGCAGTTTTCCAAGGAAAGTGCTCAATCACACCACCTCCTCCCCAGTCTGCTCACCTACTCACCTGTAGGCAAAAGCTGTGGGCTACACTGGGTCTGATAAAATCATCAGAGAAAAAAAGGATTAGGGATATGGCCCAAGGGTAGGGCTTCTCCTTAACTGCATGATGCACTGAGTTTGATTCCCAGTACCACAAAAAATAAATAAATAAAACCACTATAGCAGCTCCATTGGCACAACTATACTTTTGTGGCCCACCCTTCCTCCCCACCCCTGGCAAGCACTGATTGGCTCTCTATCCCTGTAGTTATCCCTTTTTCAGAATGTCTCATAAATGGCATCATGGGGTATGTAGCCTCATGACCTGGATGCTTTCACTTGATAAAAGGCAATTAGGACATCTCCTGTTTGGGCATGGATCAAGGGCCAAGCAGTGTTCCACAGCAGGATGCACCAGTGTTCACCCATCACCTGTTGGAAGGACATCTTGGTTTTGCTCCAAGTTTTGGCAATTACAGATAAAGCTGTTATAAACAAACATCTGTGTACAGGTTTTCAGTGGTCATAAAATTTTAACAGTGTTGAGTAAATACAGTAGCACAGGACTGATAGATTGTAGGGTGAATTCTTTAGTTTTACGACCAGACCAGACTGTCTCCAAAGTGGCTGTTTAGGTTTTTTGTTCCCCCCACCACTGAGAAGAGGACTGTTCCCTCCACATCCTGGCCAGCACTTGGCGGTGTCAATGCTCTGAATATGGGCAACTCTGAGGCAGGTGTGGTGGTGCCTAAGTCTCTAATGACAGGTGATGGTGAGCATCTTCTCACCATTTGCCATTTACAGCTTGAAAATTATTTTGTACTTCCCGTGTATACAGTCCTCTCATTTGCAGAAGACTGGACAGGTCTCCTAGAATAATGTTGAACAAAAATGATGCTGGACTGATCTCAGGGAAAATGTCCAATATTTTGTTACCTATGTTAGCGTGCTCTCTCTCTCTCTCTCTCTCTCTCTCTCTCTCTCTCTCTCTCTATATGTTATCAAATTAAAGCAGTTTCTGTAGCGTGTGAATTACAACACTAATTACAACAGGCCACGGCGCTTTATTAGATCTAGTCCGTAAGCTTCATACTTAACATCCCACTGTGATGAACACCCCATAGTGGATTAACATAGCTATACCTCCTGTGCATTTGCCAAAAAACCATAACCAGACTGGGGTGCAGTAGGGCCGCAGAGCTAGCACATGCTCCACCTTTACCGGGAAACAATATAAAGTACTGTATCTGGGGTCCACTAAAGACAGAAAGGAAGGTACAAGCATTTTGGATTGCTGGAGGTGGTCCACTAATCCATTCGGGTAAAAGGCATGGCACATGCCTCATGAAAGGGCATGGCACATGCGTAAATACGACGTGACCCCTACGAGCCTTGTGAATGTTGCTACAGTGCAATGTACCTCAAATGCTTTTGAATATAGGGCCACTATTATTTTCCAAGTTCTTCCCTGTGTGTCCCCAGGCTGGGCAACCAAAGGAAGGGCTAGAAAACCAAGGGGCATGGACAGGCCAAATTGAACTTAGAGGGCCGGAGAGGGCGGGGCGGGCGGGGCGGGGCGAGGTGGGGCGGTGGGAGGGTCGCGTAGACCTGGCCCGGATGCGGCGGCGGCGCAGGGTCCTCAGAGCGTGTGTGGGCGGCTCACTGGTGCCCGCCTCTTCGGTCGGGCCGTTGACCAGGAACTTTAAGCCCCGGCTCGGCCCCGGGATGCTTCTCCGGCCCCGGCGGCCACCTCCGCTCGCGTCCCCCGCGCTGCCATCGCCAACTAACCCCGACGCCGACCTTCGGCCTGCCGAGGACTGCCTGGGGACCCCTCTCGGGAGTCCAGCTACCCCGAGCGCGCTGGCGGAGCCCGAGTCGCCCAGGTCGCCCGTGTCCCCGGGCTCGGCACAGCGCACGCCCTGGAGCGCGCGGGAGACGGAATTGCTGCTGGGCACGCTGCTGCAGCCGGCCGTGTGGCGCTCGCTACTGCTAGACCGCCGCCAGGCACAGCCTACCTACCGCCGCGTGTCGGCCGCGCTGGCCCGGCAGCAGGTGCGGCGTACGCCCGCGCAGTGCCGCCGCCGCTACAAATTCCTCAAGGACAAGCTTCGCGACGCGCAGGGCCAGCCGTCCGGGCCCTTCGACGCGCAGATCCGTGAACTCATGGGGCTGCTGGGTGACCACGGACGGAGGCGGGTCCGCCGCCGTGCCCCCGGGCCTGGGCGCCCGCAGCGCGGCCGACGCCGGGCCACTGCCGTGCCCACGCGCTTCCTGGAGGAGCCAGGTAGGTGGGGAGGGAGGAGGCCAGGGCCGCGTGGGGTGGAGGGCGGTGCTTGGAGAGCCCCACCGATCACGCTTTCTGCTCTGCAGGCCTCGCGCCGCAGCCAGCCACCAGGGACCCGGACGCAGACCCCGCCTGCCTGCTCAGGTTCAACCCGTCCTCGCCTAAATCTGCGGAGCCTTGTTGCGCCTCCGGCTCCCCGACGGCGCACGCCCCGACAGCCCTCCGAACCTTCATCCCGGAGCCGGGCCAGGTCCGGGGGTCCCCGCCCCCGCCGGACCCCGACCTCTCCCCGGAGGACCCCGACGCCCCGCCTTACCGCACCGACGACCGTGTACCCCCACAGCCCGCCCCGCCTTCGCTTAATGCCTCTCTGCTTCAGACCTTAACACATCTGGGTGACATCGTAACAATCTTGGGCCCACTGCGTGACCAGCTGCTAACCCTGAACCAGCACGTGGAGCAGCTTCGGGGCTCCTTCGACCAGACCGTGTCCCTAGCTGTGGGATTCATCTTGGGCAGTGCGGCCGCCGAACGGGGCGTCCTGCGGGACCCACGGGAGTGACACCCCGCCAGTGGCCAGCCACCCTGTCCAGGTCCAAGCTTCCTCTCCCTTGACCCCTTTTGCAGCAACCCCCACCCTACATTAGGTATGTTAAATAAAGAGATTGTTTTGCAGACTTAACCCTGTGAATGAGTACAGGGCCAGGAATGGCCTCCTACCGTTAGCGGCTTCAAAGGTCAGGACAAGGTTAAAATGCTCCCAGATCCGAGGGAGGAGCTCCAAGTGTCCTCCAAGAGTTTAAGCAGCACAGATCAGGGGTGAGCAAGAACTGCCCTCCCAGGAGGCTGAGAGACCAGAAAGTGGAGGGAGGGGCGAGGTAAAAGGGAGAAGATTGCCTGTGTTCTACCTCCCCAGGAAAAGAAACCGGAGGAGGCTGTCTTTAATGGGCCAGTGAAGCCACTTGGCTGAGTTCAGACTGAAGGACTGGGCTCTACAGTCCTGAACAGAGGAGGAGCCAAGAGCACAGCTTTGTGGAAGATCCCCATCTTGTCCCTAGGTGGCCAGTTTGGGGCTTGAGCCCTTTGGCTAAGCCCGAGGGCAGGGTCCCCGCCTTTCTTGGAGGATCTAAAAAACCAGCCTGAGAGGGGAGCCTTTTAAAAACTGCAATTCCAGGCCCTCCCTGGACTGGAGAGCCTGGTTGGGGGAGGGTGGGGTGGAGCCAGAGACAAGGATGTAGCCGGAGGCACTCACTAGCATGACAATTACATGCTCAAGCAGAACAATGGGCCCATTTTACAAATTCAGGGACTCATCCGGGCCACACAGCTAAACCAGGAGTGTGCTCTCTGCTAGCCCCACACGGGCTGTCCTGAAAGGTTCTCAGTGGATAGCAGGGTTACAGTTCCTCCCCCGCTTGATTTTCTGGAGACCCAGAATAGGTCCTGACTTTCTGCTGTACTGATATCAGCTCCTGAGATGAGGGCCTCTCCACTGTTGATTCTGCCTCCCAGCAAGCTCCAGTCCAGACAGCCATATCCCAGCAAATACTTCCCCTAACAGAGGGTCCTTGGGGCTCTGGCCTCCTGTTCAAGAGGAAGGCTGTTTCTGGGCCTTGAAGTGATCGGCCTGAGTCTCTGGGCTGAGCTACTTGAGGCCCAAAAAGAACCTGTCTCCTTTGCTGCTTACAGTAATGAATCTAAACATGCCTGCTGACCAGTAATCTCTCAGAGGGGAGGATATTTTGGCTGTGTAAATTGCTCTAGAGAATATGAGGTGAGGTTAGCCTCCAAGTTTCACGGCTAGTTTCTTTAGTCTTTAAACTTGCCTGTGGTTCCCAAGTCCCCTTCCTGCCTGCCCTGCAGAGATTCCCTAGTATAGAGGCCTACTCCCAGCTTTGTGCTCCACAAGGCAGCCAAGATCTGTGGTGTGCGGTGGGGTGTTCCCGCCTCAGCTCACAGCTGCATTGGGCAAGGTCCCTAGGACCACTCCTAAAACTGGTACCCTTGTGGCCTGCTGGTGGCCCCTGCAGTGCTTCTGCCTGCCTATGCCTGCTCACCTGCAGCTCAGGGCCAGTGAGTGCCCTTTTCATTTTATACTGCATCCTTCTAGTCCTGTTCCTTGTTTGTTTAAAATGAGTCAGGCGGCTGCCAGGACTGGGAACTTGGCTCACCTCATTGGCCAACTCAGGCTTACGGGGTAGTTGGGGCTTGTAGCAATGGCAAGCTCCCTGGTCTCTTTTGTTCCTGCTTAGGACATGAGTGACTGGAATCCAGCTCTCTGCCTCATCCAGAGGCCTTGGCCTCAGCTTCCCACCCAACTCCATGCGCTGGGTTGGGGCTGGGAGGATACCTGAGTCCTGATGATTGGGGGGTGGGGGAGGGGGAGCTTTGTATTTTCCAACAAGGTTTGACTAACCCAGGATGGCCTTGAATTTGCTGTGTAGTCCAGGCTGTCCTCAAACCTCCCATCTTGCCCTCACCTTCCAAGTGCCAGGATTACAAGCATGTACCACCAGAGTTGAGATAATCTTACCTCAAGTTTATACATCCTTCTGTGCTGCCTGGGCTTTGTAGTCAATTCTTCCTACCATTTCAGTGTATTTATGATAAGGAATACCTAAACGTTTAATTTTATTTTCCTCCAAGTTTGGAGCTTATTACCCCTGGAGAAGCTACACTCAGTAGACTCCCCATCCTCACCCACTGCTACAGCTGAGAAGCTAACCTAGGGCCTCAGACATGCTAGGTTACTACTCGACCTTGTTCTGCGACCTAAAAATTTAACAAGGAATGCACCAGGTGTGGTGGTGTACACCTGTAATCATGAGTTTGAGGTCAGCCTGGGCTACATAGTGAATTCAAGGCCAGCCTGAAGTACATAGCCGAGACCCTGTCTCAAAAGACCAAAAAAAAAGGAGTGTAGCTCAGTGGTAAAGCACTTGCCTAGTGTGCACAGGCCCTCAGTTGGATCCCCAACACAGCCCCCAGAAAGTAAATGACCTTTAAACTTTCATGTTCACAATTGCCCATCTTCCTTATTTTCATTATCCTAAATTGGTTGGTTTATATTTGCTCCTCTAATTATATCCTCCATACAGTGTTTTACCAGTGAATGTTCCATTGCTAGGAACTCAAATCCCTGGGCAACCCAAGAGAGGTGAGGGCTGTGTGCTCTGCTGGGCTAGGTTCTGAAATCTTCATATTTACTAATCTAGAATCCAGGATCTTAATCCATGGTATCTACAAAGGACACATCCCTAAGGATTGGGAAACCTGTGTTCACCCTGTCAATTGCAAGGCCCCCCCTGTTCCCTGCAGATCTCATTCCAGTAGTCTAATGCTGAGCAGCCAGTCACTGGCCTTGCTGATCTAGATGCCCTACTGTGGAGCTATTCCCTTATCATATGCTTCCCTCTCCCGTCATCATACTCAGTCCTCATGCCTGTCTAGAGAGGTCCTAGATTGTTCTTCCTGTTTTTAACAGTTCATGGCCACCCCAGTGCAGGACATCCCTTTGCCAGAATCCCACTCCTGAGTTGACTCCAAGACCTTCTAAGGCCTTGAACAGATGTAGCCTTCCTTTCCCCGCCACTGGCAGCTGGAAACTGAGGTTTAGGCCTGTATTCAGCCATTTTCCTATATGTGGGCAGTTACTCCTTCTGGGAGGATTGTCTGTTCGTGTGATGGATCGGATGCATTTCCTGCATGTTCAGGGCACCCATTCTCTCTTTTCTGAGGCTTCTGTTATCTGTTTGTCTAAGGTCCCCTGAACAACCTGACCACCTCTACTGGGACCTGACTATCTGCCCTGTGTTTTCTGATTATATCTCCAACCAGAGACATCTCATTGAAGTTCATGGTCACCTACACAGGTCTCTCTCAGAAGACACTGCTTTGAAACATGGTCCTGGTGAGGTATCTGATGAGGCTGGAACCTTGTGTCCCTTGCTGGTCCTATGTCTTGCCTCTCCATGGTGCCAGCACCTGTGGCTGGCAGTTCTGGGCTCTTGACTGCATAGTCACCTCTGTCCTGAACGTTGTCTTCCTCAGTTCTACCTGTAAGTCACTCTTGGTACATGCTCCAGATTGCAGTGAGCCTCTCCTTTCCCTAGTCATTGTAGCTGGTTGCTGTGGCCACTGCTATTACCTCTATCACCAGTTTCCAAAATCTCTCTGACAGAGGTGTTGCCTCTCTCTTAAGCCTCTGGGTTTGCTATGGTCTCATAGCACCCAGTTCATCTTTCCTTTTGCAGAACTGAGCAGCACTCTGTGGGAGGACAGACTGTTCTAGAATCTAACTGTCTAGTACAACACTACAAGCTGCTTGTGGCCACTGAGACCTATAACCATGGCCAGTGCAACCACAGAATTGCTTTCCTTATTTAAAATAGATTTTAAACTGGGCTTAGTGGCTCACACCTGTAATTCCAGGGGGCCAAGTTAATCGCAAGTTTGAGCCCAGCCTGGGCTATTTATTTATTTGTTTTCTTTGGGGAGGGGCAATTTGGTGATACCTTGTCTCAAAATAAATTAAGAAATGGCTGGGAGTATAGCTCATTGTAAAAGCCCTGGGTTCAGTTCCCAATACCACAAAATAAATTGATTTTAAAGAACCACCTCTGCCTCAAGGCTTCATGTTGGACATTAAATGCCCCCTTTTTTTTCATTATTAGTTGTCATAGATTTAAAATTAGTTTAATTGCAAAATCCCACTCTCTTCACATATCATAGGCTTGGGATCTGAGGCCTGGCCAGGGTCCCCTCCAGGAGCCTGGCGCCAAGGAAACTAGACAAAGGCTACTTTCAGCATCACCTGCACTTGCAAGGCCTTACTGAGTGCCCCAGCTCCTCAGCCCATCCAAACCAGACTCCCCATTGGTACCCACACCTGCCTCTGTGGCTTACAGCTACAAAGCCACAGGACCCTGACAGGCCTGGCCCTGAGCTGTCACCTCACTGTAAACTGCAGTCTTGTGCCTGTCTTTCACCAGTTGTGGGAGAGGTGTGGGCGTGCCACCCTAGAGGTCACAGCATAAAGGTCATGGGGCAACCTACATCCATAATAATTAAAGTAGGGAAAAGAAAGGGTGCCATAATTGGAGGGTGATACCTCTGGGCTCTAGGCTGCACCATTAGCCTTCGGTGGTGGTGGGGGGGGGGAGCCTGAGGGTACACCAGGACAGGCGCACCCAGCCACAGCTCCCAAAGCACCCACCTCCCACCCCTAAGCCCCTGGCAGGCAGTTGGCAGGTTGGGGGCAGGTTGGGGCCTCTTCCTGGACCTCCTGGGATTGACTCTCCCCTGGGATCAGGGCCCCCAGGAGAGGGATGACCTGGAGACTCAGACTCAGGGTCTCTGTGCCCACAGGGGTGTTTTCCCAGGCGGGCCTACACTGTGCCTTCCTACTGGAAGAAAACAGCCAGAACTTTCACCAGAGAGAGGGGCCTGAGGGCTTGGGGTGTGAGGGCCAGGTGCGTCTGCAGGGCAGGGCGGAACCGATGGGGGGGTGGGGGGCACTTGGCTGTGGCCTTGGTTTCTCCAACAATCTTGAGGAAGCCACGTGAGGCTGGAGTGGGCTGGGACTCTGCATGTGGCCTCCCTTTTTCTTGGGGCCAAGAGTTTATGGAAGTGCACGGAGGCTTATACGGGTCACGGCCGTCCTAACGAGAAACTACCT